TCTCTCATCTGATGGATTCAATCCCCACAGTTCTTTAAGTAGCAGATACAGTTGTTGGCCAGTTATGTTAGTTACATATAATCTCCCACCATGGCTATGCATGAAGCGGAAGTTCATGATGTTGACCTTATTGATTTCCGGTCCTAAACAGCCCGGAAATGATATAGACCTCTACTTAGAGCCTTTGATTAATGATTTAAAATCGCTGTGGGATGGGATTAGAGGAGTGTATGATGCCCACATAGGAGAATACTTTACACTCAGAGGTGTATTACTGTGGACAATTAATGATTTTCTTGCCTATAGAAACTTATCTGGTTGTGTTGTTAAAGGATATAAAGCTTGTCCAATATGCGGTGATGATACACCTAGTCACACGTTGAAAAATGGCCACAAAATTTGTTACATTGGGCATAGAAAATGGTTACCAATCAATCATCCATATAGGAGGCAACGTGCAGCTTTTAATGGGAAACCTGAATATGGCATGCCTCTCGAGCCATTAACCAGAGAAGCAGTGCTGCATATGGTTGAAGATATTAATTACATGTGGGGCTCGAAAAACCCTAGATGTTATGCACATTGAGAAGAATGTTATCCACATCAAGACCACTTATCCAAAATTTAGAAAGATAACAAAGTGGCTACAAGATAAGCACAATAGCATTTTCATTCAATGGCTACGCTTTAAGGTATATATGTTATTGAATGACATATTGAACTTATTTTAATTTTCTTTCTTTCTATATATATGTTAGATTGAATTAAGATATATGTTTAATTTGCAGGTTCAAAGTGAACTTAATGGGGAAGACAATAATGGCGTATCAGAAAATTTGAGGTGGTTAGCAACTGGTCCAAGCATGGCAGTGCCATCATATAGGAGCTATCTTATTAATTGTGTAAAATTTAACACCAAGGCACAAGATGATGTGCGAACTGTCCAAAATAGTGGAGTTTATTTACTTGCACATACTATGCAAGTTGCTAGTGCCAAGGATAAAAACCCTATTGTCTCCAATATGGGTTTTTATGGGGTTATTCAAGAAATTTGGGACCTTGACCACCAAAAGTTTAGAATCCCAACTTGAGGTGTGATTGGATAGATAACACTTCGGGCCTTGTAGTCGACGAACATGGATTTACCCTTGTAGATCTGAGTAAAATTGGACATAGGAATGAACAATTTGTTATGGCTTCTCAAGTCAAACAAGTATTTTCTGTTGACGACCCAATGCATCGTGGTTGGTCGGTAGTGTTATCGATGCTTAATAGAGAATATAATGATGTTATTGGTGATGATGTGCTAGGTGATATTAGAATTGAGTGTGAGCCATTTACTAGAGGGATACCAAATGTTGACACATTTGATGACCTAGTGGGTGAGTTTGGGAGTGAGGATATTAGAGATGGGTGTGAAGATATATGGATTGATTGATTGTTGTAATGTATGACATTAGTTATGCAGTTAATTGCATGACATTAATTAATAGCTCTGTATATCATTTTAATTCCGATCACATTTTCATTCTGCAGGCTTTGGGCACGACAAATCGAAAATTAAAAATAATGGGTTAAAGCTGAAAATACAACGGTCAAGTTACAAAAATCGCAAAAAGAGACGTCTACAAAACAACCAACGTCGGGTTTTCACAAACGACGTGGAATGACAATGCAAAAATGAAATAAAAACAGTCATTTGAAAAAGAAAACACGTCGGTTAATTAAAATTAATTTCAAAACGGTTAATAAATATTAACAACAACGATGGTAAATAAAATAATCAACGACGAACAATAAAGAATAACACGACGGCAGAGCTCAAACCGACGAATTTACGGATATAATCAATTGATGATTACCGTCGTAAAAACATTGTTGCACGTCAGTTCTAATTAAACAATTGACGTCTCAGAGAATACACACGTCAAAAAAGGTTATAAAAGAGACTTAACAAAGACTAGCCACGTGATGGAATAAATAAATCACCAACGTAGTAAGTACATAACAACGTCGAATAATTGGATTCTTGGGACATAGTAAATTTCTAACCACGACCTTCATTTTACAATAACCGACGTCAAATTCATAATTCAAGGCGTTTCCTTACTTCTTAACGACGGTTAGGCTAAAAGCAATGACGTCTCAGAGATTACACACATCCAAGTGGCTCACAAAAGAGACTTTTAAAATGCCAACCACGTCAAAGTCTATAAAAACCGACGTTGTAAATTACTAACCACGTCCCAAAATGTGACTCCTAGGCCATAGTAAATGGATTAAACATGACAGGTATTTTAATTAACCGACGTGTAATGTTAAATCCACGTCGTTTATTTCTCTATTCAAGCCGTCAAAATCATTTTCAATGTCTGTGGTGACCTAAAGGGTCGTAGTTATTTGTTTTTTTACGTCAGTCCAAGTAAATATGTGCCATGTTTAATCTTTCAAACGTCACTTTTTTTGACAAAAGTGACGTCTAATTTACCATGTTATATGTTTTAGACGTCAGTTTTTTAATTTAGTGAGCGTAGTATATATTAACCACGACAATTTCTACGTTTTACACGTCGGTTTTATTTTAATTAGAGCCGTTGATAATCATATTTACGTCGGGTTTGTAGTTGTTTTTGACATTTAACATTATTTAAACGTCTGTGTTTTACTAAAACCGTCGTCTAATATAGTCGAATGTTGTCTTTTTATGCTTTTATGTATGAAGTAGACGTCGATTTTAGTATTTTTTATGACGTGTAATATATTAACGACGTCGGTTATTTTCCGTCGTTATTTTATGTGTTAAAAGATGGCGGTCGATTTCACGTCGGTTTTAAAACATGCCATACGACGGTGGATTCCCGTCGTCTATTTCGTTTTTTGTAGTAGTGTTTTTTTTCGTTGTATCTTGCATGTATTCATCCTGAGATGCTGATGGATTCCTTAAACATGCCATACGACGGTGGATTCCCGTCGTCTATTTCGTTTTTTGTAGTAGTGTTTTTTTTCGTTGTATCTTGCATGTATTCATCCTGAGATGCTGATGGATTCCTTAGGCATCCGACAATTTCCTTTAAATTGAATTCAATTTTGGACATCAATAATATGGTTGAAAAAATTTCATTGGTGTTTATGATATATATTTGGTAGTCAAAGTCTCCATAGTCTATTGTTTATATGGGTGAGTGAATTTTGGGGAGAGCACACATCTTCCTGCAAAAATGAGATAAATGTCAGATTTTTTTTACATAAGCGTAACAAAAGTAGTTTTAAAAAAAATATCTATAAAAATAATGTAATGTGTTATATTTTAGGTTGTAAGATAATTCTAATGGGTAAGATTATAGGTAAATAACTTTTAAATGCTTGCGCTACACTATATATATAGTACTTATATAAGTACTATATATATAGTGTAGGTTGGCATCATGAACCCTAATCTAATATATATAATATATATTTGGTATGCCCCTTGCCCTCCCTCTCCATGGTATTGGGATCATGAACCCTAATCTAATCCCGTATAGGTTGTAACTAGTTTATAATTACTTAAGAATTCAATTAATAGATTATAGATTGTCATGCCCCAAAATCTGGACACGTGACAGCACACACCTTGAAAATCCCGTCGACTAAACCAGAGCCTTGATGAATAAGGCCATATGTCAATAGATTGAATGTTATCTATGCCTGCCGGCCGCTGCAAGAAGAGGAGTGTGTACAGTTGAACAACCCTTAAACATTGTCAAGTGAGACAAAAGTAAACCACAAATGGAATGTGAATAGAGAAAACCAGTTTCTATAGTACTGCACCAATTCACATATGTACAAACAGAAGCCATTCCATCCATTTGGTTAGGCTCTGAAGGTTCCTCCATCCAATTATCTTCTTCAGTCCCGATGAAGCATAACAATAGAATTCTGTATACCAATTAACACATGGACCTTATATATATATAAATTGTTATGGTTCAATAAGAATTAGTTATACAATTTAATTATATTGTATTATTTATAAATTTTAAAAAATTAATTAATTAATGTTCAAAAGGCATACGCCTCACTACTTCAAGACTTACGCCTCGCATAGCATGATTAAAACGCCTCACATCAACGCCTCGCCTTTCAAAACATTGATTATGATAGCTCTTGTATTCCTTGATGGGCTAGGAATCTTGAGCTAGTGCATATAAATATCAAGTCCCTGCTCAGACGATCAGACCAGCAAAAAGGCATTCAAAACCCCATCTAGAATAATAGCTTAAAGGATCATTCTGAGTAGAAGAACTTGGTTACTCTCTGTTCAACTATCACGGCAGCTCCAATGGCTCACGATCAAGATTAGTGTTTTAATATATGCAGCTTATATAGTTTACATCAATATCCCAAAGTAAGTACTGTTTTGAGTCAGCATCCGTGGCTAATTGTTTTTCAGCCACAAATATACTGTGCCATGCGTTTGGTGCCACAGATTAACAGTAAGTGTGTGGCTATTACATCAGCAGTCGCCACCATTCAGATGCAGTGGCTAGGAAAACAGGGGCTACAACTCAATTTTCTATTTAAACGGGATGACTGCGGGCCGGTCCGACCAATTGGACACCTCTAAACGGATGGATGAATTACATTGGAACTTGGAGAACCAAGGCTAATTTTGGTTAATTATTGATCTGTGGCTGCCAACCAAAATCATAGATTGAAGAGTGAGTGAAAATTTCTACAGTTTAAAAAATAAAATACAATAAAATGGATGAAAATAAAAAATTGTCGGGATCTATATGACCACAAAAGTAGGGTACGTTCCCTATTTTCTAGTTAGTGTTTGTTTGATGACTTGTGGGGCTCAGAGTTAGTTATTTAATCATCTTGATATCAAATTTGTTGTTAATGGTGCTGGGTTTCACTCAGAAATAAAATGATGATGAATGATAGTATTGATGATCTCCCAGAGCTTTTATTGGTTGAAATCATTTGTCGACTTTCTTGTATTAAGTTTGTTTTTCAATGCAAGTGCGTGTCCAAGCGTTGGTGTGAACTCATCTCCAGTTCTCATTTTGTTGGGCAATATGTACGTCGCCAACGTGATTTGAAAAAGCCCATTTTAGGTACATTAGTTGTAGACAATGGAACATTCTTTCATGTGGAAAACGAGGATGGTCTGATGAGTTTGCAGCTACCCGTTATTTCAGAAGCCGCAGCAGAACAAAAATTATTTGTGGTAGGGGCGTGCAACGACTTAGTTTTGTGCTGCCCAAGCAAACTTGATCACCGTGAATATTACATTTGCAATCCATACACCAAGAAATGGGTTGCTCTTCCTCCCCCTCCTCGAATCCATAATTACGTATCCGTAGGGTTCATTTGTGATCCCTACTACAACTACAACTCATCCTCCTCCTTTGATAATGATGTTTGCATTAATGCTGAATATAGGTGGAGGGTTGTGAGATTACGTCCAGAGTTCTATGTGGACATCTTCTTTTCTGAGACCGGTGAATGGAGAGAGTCCGCTAATGTGGTATGCGGCTCACGAAAGTATTTTGATATCGTAACTGCAGGCGTTGCTTGCAATGGGAAGTTGTATTTTGCAGGTACCGATTGCGTTACATCCTCCTATGTTCTGGAGTTGGATCCCTTCCAAGGAATCAGTAATATCAGTACTGATGGCGATCATATTATTGTTGACAAATGTCGGTTCAGTCTGGCACCTCTTGATATGTCGTCTGACTTGCGGATAAATGGCATGTCGATGTATCTGGTTCTTGGTGCATGTCGAGGGCATTTGCGGGTGAGCGAGTTTGTGGTTTGTAATCATTTGAGTGTCTGGGAGTTGGATGCAGGCGATGATGATTTGAAATGGCGTTTGCTGGTCGACCAAGTTCCCCTCTTCCAGATGGAATCTTCCAATTCTGAAGATCCTTTCATGCCTCTAGATGAGTGGGGAAAAAATGCGATAGGTTTCCACCCGAATATTGAGGCCATCTACGTAGATGCTGGGAAAGTTATCAGGTGCAACTTTG